TGCTAATCGACTGTGTACGATCACAGCCCAGAGCCTCGTGTTTGCATACAACACAGAGCTCTGTACAGAGGGAACGATCTCTGTTTCTCATCCCTGCAAAGCAAAAAAATTAACCAATCAATATACACTTATTAGGAATTTTTTTTACCAAATACAATTTGGCCAAAACGTGTGAAGGAATGAGTTTTTTTGCATTTTGTGATAAGTAAAAAATATTGATGTTTTTTCAAAAATATTTTTAGTCATATCACAAACAATAAAAAGCCTAGTAGTGATCAAATAGCACCAAAAGAAAGCTATATTAGTATAAAAAACATGATATAAATTTAGTTTGGGTACAACAGTGCATGACCGCACAATTACCAGTTGAAGTAGTGCAGTGTGGTATAGCAAAAAAATTGCCTAATAATTATTAGGGGGTAAAATCATCCGGAGCTAGGGGCGGAATGCCAACTCATGGGGACCCGGGGCAATAGGGGATCATGGGGCCCCTGTGTCTTTGCCCAAACTCAAAAAAGCCAATGAAAAAGGTACCAGGGGCATCTCATGGGGCCCCCTACTGACCCCGGGCCCTCGGACAGTGCCCGAGTTTCCAAATGGTCAGTCTGCCCCTGTTCGGAGCTCAAGAGGTTAACTTAATCATGGTTATATAAAATGTATTGTCCAAAGAATTCAGGAATTCTTCATCAAAATCAATAGCAAATTAACAACAGGAACACATGCGGTGCTTTTAGGCCCCATATTGATATTTTCTCTAACTTCCTATTCTGTAACTCCCTGGGTGTCAGGGGACAACAGAAATAACCTGCCCTCGCCGGCTCTTCTCCACTTTTAAATCCCTGCTCTCCCCCCCCCCCACCTCCACTCAGCACCTCACTCACCGCCCACGAGATTGCCAATCATTTCCAAAACAAGATTGGCGCAATCCGTAAGGACATTGTCAACTCGCAATCTACCTCTCCACCCAGCCCCCCACCCTCCATCAACCCCTCAACCCTCCCCTCCTCCGACCTCATAGCCACACTACCCCCCACTATGCCTAATGCCCCGCACACTATCACCTCCCCAACACTCCGCTCCTTCAGCCCAGCTACCCCTGAGGAGGTCTCTAAGGTCTTCACTGAAGCCCATCTCACCACCTTCCCCCTGAACCCTATCCCCTCACATTTCCTCCAGTCACCCCCCCCTCCCTCCATCATTCGCTCCCTCACCCACATCTTCAATCTCTCCCTCTCCACTGGCACTTTCCCCTCCCCTCTAAAGCACGCACACATCACCCCCATACTCAAAAAACCCTCCCTTGACCCCACTGACCTGAACAACCTTAGACCCATCTCCCTGCTACTATTCACTTCCAAGCTGCTTGAGCGCCTGGCCTACAATCGCCTAAGCGCCCACCTCACTGATAACAACCTCCTTGATCCACTACAGTCTGGCTTCCGTCCCCTACACTCCACCGAAACCGCCCTACTTAAAATCACCAAGGACCTGCTAACCACCAAAGCTAATGGCCATTACTCTGTCCTCCTGCTCCTTGACCTCTCCACGGCCTTCGACACAGTCGACCACCCTCTTCTCCTTATTAAACTACACTCCCTTGGCATCAGGGACGCTGCTCTCTCCTGGTTCTTCTCCTACCTATCCCAACGCTCCTTCAGCGTCACCTATAATGCTGTCACCTCCCCCTCTCTCCCCCTCTCTGTCCTCGGACCCCTCCTCTTTTCCATCTACACCTCCTCCCTTGGCAAACTAATACACTCCCACTGCTTCAATTACCACCTCTATGCCGACGACACACAAATTTACCTCTCCACCCCCCACCTCACCCCCTCACATTCCGCCCACATCGCCCACCTCCTGAACGACATATCAGACTGGATGTCGCTCCATTTCCTCAAATTAAACCTGTCCAAAACCGAGCTCCTGGTCTTCCCCCCACCCCGCGCCCACCTCCCCATCCTCTCCATCACTACTAACAATGCCACCATCACTCCCACCCCACATGCCAAAGCCCTGGGTGTCACCCTGGACTAAAACCTTTCCTTCCTACCTCACGTTCAATTACTATCTAGATCATGCAGGCTCCACCTCCGCAACATCTCCAAGATACGTACATTCCTCACCCCAGACACTACTAAACAACTCGTACACTCCCTCATCATCTCATGCCTGTACTACTGCAACTCCCTTCTCACTGGCCTACCCAAACAAACGCTATCCCCACTCCAGCCGATCCTGAACTCAGCGGCTAGACCAGGGGTGGGCAAACTTTTTGACTCGAGGGCCGCAATGGGTTCATATATTGGACCCGGGGGCCGGACCAAGAGTAGATGAATGATGTGTATGTGTCATCCATAGTAAGTATAGTAATATTCCCCCATAGTAAGCATAGTAATTCATCCCCCATATAGTAATTCGTCCCCCATATAGTAATTCGTCCCCCATATAGTAATTCGTCCCCCATAGTAATTCATCCCCCATATAGCAATTCATCCCCCATATAGTAATTCATCCCCCATAGTAATTCATCCCCCCACATATTAATTCATCCCCCATATAGTAATTCATCCCCCATATAGTAAGTCCCCCATATAGTAAGTCCCCCATATAGTAATTCATTCCCCATATAGTAAGTCCCCCATATAGTAATTCATTCCCCATATAGTAAGTCCCCCATATAGTAATTCATTCCCCATATAGTAAGTCCCCCATATAGTAATTCATTCCCCATATAGTAAGTCCTCCATATAGTAATTCATTCCCCATATAGTAAGTCCTCCATATAGTAATACATTCCCCATATAGTAAGTCCCCCATATAGTAATTCATTCCCCATATAGTAAGTCCTCCATATAGTAATTCATTCCCCATATAGTAAGTCCTCCATATAGTAATTCATTCCCCATATAGTAAGTCCCCCATATAGTAATTCATCCCCATATAGTAAGTCCTCCATATAGTAATTCATCCCTCATATAGTAATTCATCCCCCATATAGTAAGTCCCCCATATAGTAAGTCCCCCATATAGTAAGTCCCCCCTGTGTCAATTCACTTACCTTTGCTCCGCGCGTTCCTCTCGTATTCCCGCGCCATTCTGGTCTTCAGGGAGGACTGTGAGGAGAAGAGTTCGTCACGCTGCCCCGCCTACATCCTGGCTGCCCCGCCTACATCCTGACAGCTGCAGAGTCCTGACGCCCGAGAGGAGGGAGGGGGCGGCCATCCAAGAGGGGGGGCGGCCATCCGAGAGGAGGGAAGGGGAGAGGAGGAGAGGAGGCCGCCCGCCCAAGAGGAGGGAGGGGAGCGGGCGCCCGGCACACAGGAGAGCCGCATCTAAGTTTGTAAAGAGCTGCGGCTTGCCGACCAGTGGCCTTGCGGGAGCCTAGCTCCGCGGGCCGGATTAAAAGGTCCGCCGGGCCGTATACGGCCCGCGGGCCGTAGTTTGCCCATTGCTGGGCTAGACTCATCCACCTCACCAACTGCTCCACAACCGCCACCCCCCCTCTGCCAATCCCTTCACTGGCTCCCGATTGCCCAACGCATCAAATTCAAACTGCTAACTCTGACCTACAAAGCCATTCACAACGCCACCCCAAACTACCTAACCGACCTGATACCCAAATACCACCCTACCCGTGCCCTTCGTTCCTCACAGGACCTCCTACTCTCCAGCATCCTGGTCTCCTCCTCCCACGCCTGATTGCAGGATTTCTTCAGGACTTCCCCCATCCTCTGGAACTCCCTACCCCAATCCATCAGACTGTCACCTACCCTCCTCACCTTCAGGCGCACCCTGAAAACCCACCTCTTCAGGGAAGCCTACCCTACCCTCACCTAACAACTGACCTCCTCCACTCCTCCCACCACTTCATCTCCCACAGCCATTTCCTCCTGTACCACTTTCCCCTCCCTCCTAGATTGTAAGCTCGAAAGAGCAGGGCCCTCGAACCCCTCGTGTATTGTATTGTTTCTGTCTTGTCTCATGTTCTGTCCCCTTTTGCTATTGTACAGCGCTGAGCAAACCCTTTGGCGCTATATAAATACTGTATAATAATAATAATAAAAATTCTTCACATAGAAACTTGATAGAAGCTCAAACTCTATTACCAAGCTGTCCAACACTAAAAAAAAACCACTAAAACATCTTTAAATATTAGTTATAATAAATATTATTAGACTTTAGCTGGAAAAAAATTAAAAAGCAAGTTTCTACATTTTTTACTTTTGTAGTGTGCTAAACATTTATTTCATCTACTTTTGCATCCAAATGAAGAACATACACAATTTCATATCTACATAAATCAATAGCTGGCTTATTTGTCTACCTCTTTTGTCATAATAAAAATCTGAGTCTACTGACTAATCACATCGACCTTTATATACACAGTTTACAACGACAATAATTTATATGGAAACTCTTTTTTTATTAACTGGTAGGCAGTTGTTCTAAAGATGGACAATTCTTTTAATAACACTTCTAATCTCTTGATTCCTCAAGCTGTAGATTAGAGGATTGATTAGAGGTGTCACCAGGGTGTAGAGCAAAGACAGACCTTTGTTTATGCTGAAGGAACTTTTGTTTGGTGGAAAAAAATATATAGATCCTAAGCTTCCATAGTAAAGGCACACAACAGTGAGGTGAGAGCTACAAGTAGAAAAGGCCTTCTGTCTTCCAGTGGTGGATGGGATCTTCAAGATGGTGTGAAGGATAGAGATGTATGTAGCCATGATGAACACAAATGGACAAACAACAAGAGAAAAACACAGGACAGAAGTCACCAACTCAACAGGAGGGTTATCCAAACATGAAAGTTCTACCACAGGAGAGACATCACAATAGAAATGATTGATAGCATCTGGACCACAGAATTGTAAATTGTCTAATAAAATATATAGTATGAGGGATGCTGTGAAGCCCACCAACCAGCAAGAGCTGACTATTTGGACTTGCTGTCCAAAGGTCATGATGGTAGCATAATGTAATGGTTGACATATGGCCACATATCGATCAAAGGACATGGAAGCCAACAGTAAACACTGGGCCACTGTAGGAAAAGCTAATAAAAAGAATTGGAAAATACATCGGGCAATGGAAATTTTCCCACCACCAACCAGTATCAACCACAGCATGTTGGGCACAATGTTACTGGTGAAGATAATTTCGGACAAGGACAGCTGACTGATGAAGATGTACATGGGAGAGTGCAGACTCCGGATGAATGCAACCAAAGCAACAACAAGGATATTGCTGGTTAAGGCCATGATGTGAATGATCAGAAAGATGGTGAAAAGTAGAATTTTGAAGTCTTGAAGGTCTCCGAATCCCAGAAGTAGAAATTCTGTCAGCAATGTTTGGTTTTGATTCCTCTTTGCCATTGTTTGGATTTCATGACAAAAGTATCCAACAATACACTAAAACAAGGTTAAAAATTATGTGCTTACAATATTGTGACAAAAGTAAATTTAGAGAGCAGTACACGCATACTATTTTAAATGAACAACATATATTACAATATGACTTACACTCACCGGCCACTTTATTAGGTACTCCTGTTCAATTGCTTAGTAACACAAATTGCTAATCAATCACATGGCAGAAACTCAATGCATTTAGGCATCTAGATGTAGTGAAGACGACTTGCTGAAGTTCAAACCGAGCATCAGAATGGGGAAGAAAGGGGATTTAAGTGACTTGGAATGTGGCACGGTTGTTGGAGCAAGATGGGCTGGTCTGAGTACTTCAAAAACTGCTAATCTACTGGAATTTTCCAGTGTTGGTCATTATATTTGTGTTGGCAGGCCTTTGAGGTTTTATGACTGATGATGGATCCACTGTACATCTCTGGACAATGTGATTGACAATGTCAGATTGCATTTTTTTTTAAATAAAATACTCATTCTATGGTCTGTGTATTTACTTTGGCAATCATTTAAGGAAGAAGTATGAAATGGTATCTGTGGTCTCCTTTATTATAAAGGGGGCTTCGAGATTCCAATAAGTGGCACCTCACAGTCTTCCACATTCACTGGGCCTGGGAGGTGGGGATGAGGCTATTAACATGGAGACAAGATGCCTTGTTGGGTAAAGTTGTCTTCCAATGTTGAGCGTATGTGTCCTGGTATGGTTCAGGAATGGGGGACATACTTGCTGAACCCCCATTCAGGGCCTGCTAGACTTCATGACTGGTTGAGGGTCTGCTGTGTATTTTGAGGGACCCCATGCAAAAAAAAAAAAAAAAACAAAAAAAATGACAAGAGGTTCCTCCAAAATTCATACCAAACCATTATCATTGGTAGCCTGAAAGTGCATTAGAACTATTAGAAGCCAAGAGTCTGTTCTTTCAATCATGGAAGCAAAACATCACGTGTGTGTGTGTTACCTGAGAAGATCGGCATGAACATACAGCCTGCATAGGAAAGCCCACCCCCTGAAGATTGACCTCCAATCATCAAGGCATTTTGATATTTACATAACTCCTTCTACCAACCAGCCCACTGCTTGTATCAGGACTGAGGGCTGTTGAGAGGAGTACTGAGGCTGGGTGCTAGGATGTTTTCAGGAAGCTATGTACAGCACCCCGCCAGTCCACCAGCCATGATCTGCCTGCATTGCATAAAGAAACACAGAGACCCAAAATAAGGTATGTAATGAAATGTGAAAATGCCATAACCCGTGAAAGGAATTTTAATATACATGTTCCAAGGCTATATTCACACAGGTGCATATGGGGGCTAGATTTTCATTAGCAATATTAATTGCTGCCTGCACATTGTGTGTGTGACCAGTAGAAGCTGTCACTGGCATCTGTTGGATTTGTACTCAACATTATAATGGCCGGCATCAACACTACTCATATTTAACCGCTCATCTAAACAGTGACATGAGAACAGAGCTTCTGTGGATGCTGCCATTGTGCATCCAGGGTCAGCATTTCGCTGCGGTTTTGGCGGCACACAACCTGACCTCAGCGAATCAGCCAGTTTGTATGCAGCCATAGCACAGAGTATCTCAGCAAACTATGTGCCCCTGGCCTATTGTGTGTAATAAGAGCATGTTTAGAAGAGTGTGATTACAATTTCTGTAGCTTGCCGTTTCCTTTCTTCATCAGTGTTAAGTCAGATGTGCACTATATGGTCAAATGTTTGTGGATACCTACCAGCCATCACACTTGTAGCACTACCCACCTTAGGAGTTGCTGAAGTTTTGGGTCCTCCCCAAAGTCCTGCACAGCCAGGTAACATGCACTTTCACAGACTTGCATCCAGGAGTCAGTAAGCAGTCCTTCAGCTTGTTTTTTGATGTTTTATTAGGGGATCTTAGAACTTGGATGGGGTAAGGGTGTACGGGATGTCCAGTGGAACTGAGAAATTGAAGACAACTTCCTGAACAATGTACAAGTCTTGTGGAGTCCTCTTTGTGGAGAGCCAGCCAGCATCTCCTGTAGTACCACCCCAGATCCCAGATGCTCCTCTATCTGGCTGCCTGGAGAAATCCCTCAGCAGGGGAACCAGTGCCTGTTACTTCAAGAAATAAGTCAGTCCCGGGTGATGGCTAATCTGGTTTCCCACCAGAGTGCCCCTAACCTTATTTGGCACAGGGGGTGTAGATGTACTCACTCAGTCCTTCACCTGTGCTGCTGGTGGGATGGTGGCTGCTACCAGGCCTTTTAGCTGGGCCACTCCTTCCCTGCCTCACAGGTGGTCCTCTCACAGTGGGCCTGTAAAGTCCCGAGCCTTTCTCCTTCCAAGGTCCTCTGCCTGTAGGCGAGCCTCTTTCCATCTGGGCCCCCTCACAGGCTCCTGCCTCCAACCTCACTTCCTTTCTCTCTCCTCCAACAACTTCCCCAACCACTCTCCTCCAGTTGAGCAGCTGGGTTACTCTAAAAGGCTGTCCTGGCCCCTTGCCAAGCCCTATATTGGGGATTTCCCAGGGTCCTCTAAGAGCACAGGTCAGCCACTCCTTGAACCCACCCACTGCTTCTAGACCTTTCTCCAATGTTCTAGAACAGGGGTAAAATCCAGAGGGCTTGTCTGCAGAGCCTCTCAGCTCTGACCCAAATTTGACCCTGTCAGCTATCACACCCAGGCTGCTACTCAGTCCTTCTAGCTAACAATTGAATTAGAGCTCCCCCTTGCTAATTAGGAGGGTGCTACACACCTATATGAGCTTGCTGGACTTCCTATTCTGATACTTCTGATACCATGGAATTTAATATGGAGTTGGCCTTCTTCTGCAGCTACAACATTTTCCAATCTTCTGGGAAGGCCTTCCTCAAAATGTTGGAGTGTGTCTGTGGAAATGTGTGCCCATTTAGCCTAAAAAGTATTTGTGAGGTCAGGTGCTGATATCAAGTGAGAACTCCTAGATCACAATCGGAGATCCAGTTAATTCTAAAGGTGTTCAGTAGGGTTGAGGTCAGGGCTCAGTACAGGACACCTGAGTTCCTCCACACCAAACCCATCAAACCACGTCTTTATAGAGCTGACTTTGTACACAGGGGCACAGACATGCTGCAACAGAAAAGGGCCTCCTCCAAACTGTTACCACAAGGCTGGGATTGTCTAAATGTTGTATGATGTGTATCACTACCCCATTGAGAGCCGCTGGTTTTGGGAACCCCTTATTCCCTGCACAGCCAGGCAACACGCATGTTCCATCCTATATCCAGACACAAAGAAACAGTCCATGGGCTTGCTTTTCTGTATTTATTAGGGATTTCAATTTGAATAGGAAAAAGGGGTTATGGGATGCCCAATTTGACTCAAAGAACGACAAAAATGAGGAAGACTTCCTTCTCTTTGCATACTGCAGCAACAGACATTTGACTGTATTCCCGCCAGAACAGCAACCATCTTTAGAAAAGCAATCCCCTCCTAGGAGCCTGGTGTCCCCCCCGAGTGGATTTTTAGCAAAGTCCCAACTTGTAGGAGCTCTCGGTCCCCTTAATGAAGGAAATGCCAGCCCACATGGCCATGGTATCTGTTCCCAAGGTAAGGGATTGGGTAAGCAATAAACTGTCCCTTGCCAAGAACCTACTTCTAGAAGGCTTCTCCCTTATAGGCCCTGGGGGTGTAGAGGTACTCACTCTGTCCCTGTCCTTCTTCTGTAGATAGAACTGCTTTCAGGACTTCCACTGGGCTTTTTATTTTCCAGGCTATGCAGCCTGTCCTTTCTCAGTGGACTGCAGGGCAGTGGAGCTCCCTCCTTCAGCTTTCCTTCTTCTTCCAACCTTCAGTCTGAAGGTAGAACCCCCCTTCCTTGGGGCACACTCCCAGGCTCCTCATTACTCCATCTTCCACCTGACTCCCCTACTGGCCAGGCTCTGTCATATTTATGGGCCAGCCTGCCACACTGCTAGGCCACTTGCCTGGGATTAGTCAGACTTCCATAAATATGAAGATCAGCTCCTTCTCACCTCTGACTACTGTCTTATATATGCTTCTCCAAGCTTCTAGAGCAGGGGAGCTACCTGAGGACTGGCCTGTAGAGCCCTCCAGTTTGACCTGAAGTAACCCTTTTACTCAAACTCAGGCTTCTAGCAAGCCTGTAGCTACACTTAAACTATGTACACAGGAGGGTGCTACAGATGAAAGAAAACCCTTTACTGGGGGTGTCATTTACTTCTGGTCATATAGATAGTTGAGATGATCAGATGGCCACAGGGGAGGACTGACAACTCATGGGGCCCCAAGGCAACAAGGGATCATGGGGCCCCTGTGTCCTTGACCACAATCAAATCACACCCAAAAAAGCCTATAAAAGGTACCAGGGGCATTTCATGGGGCCCGCTACTGACCCCGGGCCCTCGGGCAGTCCGCCCCTGGGTGGCCAAGAACATCAGGCCATGTAGCATGCCTTTGCTTTGCAAAGTGAAAAGTCTTTCCTCCTTTAAGAAAATATATCAATTGATTTAATAAGTTCAAGTGATCTTTCCTTACTGAATGGTTCTCTTTAAAAAGCATAATAATATTCATTAAATGTAGCTGATGTTTCCTGTCCATCATTTTTAAAGCAGAACTCCAGGCAAAATGTATATATTTCTATGCAGTGGGGCTGTGCCTGCACTGCATAGGTCAACTGCTCATTTTGTCCAGGGGTGCAAAGAAAAGCTATACTTAACCGATCCTTCGATCCTCCAGAAAACAGCTGTCCCCTACGTCCAACGTTGGACTGTTCCTGCTGTCCATATGTCCAGAGCCAGTCTATGGGTGTGATGAGATCAGGAACAGTCCATGAACAAAACTTCTAGCATGTGTGTGGGGGGGGGTGGTGGAGCAGTGGGGACCGGTCTTGTGCTCGGAGGATCAGAGGATAAGGTGAGTATACAAAGAACCAGCAAACACAAATGCTCCTGCGCTTGGGGATGGACTCGATG